CTCTCTCTGCACAGCCCCACCAGCTCTGCCTTCAAGAGTCGGGCGTAGGCCATCTGCCCGCTGGGCCCCTCGGTGCAGACTCACCAGTCTAGTGCTGCAGCGCCCCCCGATTCCCAGGAACCGCTTCGCTCTGTCTCCAGCACGCCTGGCTCCAGGGCTCTTGCTTCTACTGCGCCTTGTCGCTCGCCGCTGGACGCTCCAACCACGGGGTGCAGTGCATCCCGCTCCTGACACCAGTGTGACGGCGTGTTGGGGGTTCCCCGTCTCCTGCACCCCGAGATGGCACAAACAGACTGCACCAGCCAGTGGAATAGAGGAAGGTTATTGCCTCTCCAGGATACAGCATAGCACAGATGTAGTCTGGTCACAGAATTGGGCTAGGATGCCTCAGGCCCCCTTGAGTTGGGGGGAGACTGGGCCCCTAAACTCCAGCTCCTCTCCCTAGGCTGTCTCCTCCATGCTCCCCCACAGTAACTAACTCACTAACTTCCAGCCCTGCCCCCCAGCCAGGGCCGCATTCCACCTTCCTTTGTTCCTCCCCATGGGGGGTGTCTGGCCACTGGTTTGCATAGTGACTCATCCTGTTTGGCTGGGTCCTGGTACCCACGGCAGCCAGTGGGGCCACCCCAGAGCCAGCAGCATAGAAACCAGCCAGGTACCCCCACTACGTCACACTTGGGATCTCAGGGGATCTGGGTCTGTGACGAATGGGAGGAGCGTTACCCATTCCCAGACAGCCCCAGCCTCTGTGTTCACTCCATCGCCTGGGAAGGGCCAGACCCAGAGACAGCGGGGCCCTAGGATACGTTGGCAGGGAGGCCACAGAGCCCCCAGAAAGGAGGGGGGCAGATTTTGAAAAAAGCAGGATCTGTCTGTTGCAGTCTTTGTCTGACCAGAAGAGAGTATGAACATAAGTTAGGCTAGTAACAAGGCATGGGATTCCCAGTGATATCCATGCCTAGGGGAAGTCTAAACTTTGGAACAGCAGAGATGTAAGTAGGACAGTACAATCCCAGGGGAGCGATTCTCTGGGCAGGACTCCGCATGGCGGGGGGCTCCCCACAGAGCTCTCTGTCATTTCAGCCCATGCCCATGGCTGCAGCTCCACCCCCCCCCCATACTTACCATTGCTGGATCCTTTCTCGCTGCCTGTGGGGGGAGAAGGGGGGGTCAGGCCCTGAGCCCAGCGGGCCAGTGAGTTCCCAGGGTCAGAGGGATTCCAGACCCACCCACCCTTTCGCTCCCCCAGTCAGGGTGGGGCTATCACTGCTGGGGAGTCCTGACCCCAGGCTGAGCGGGGCTGGGAGCAGATGATGGGTTCTCACTGTGGGACATCAGGGACCGTCCCTCCCATGCTAGGAGAGGAGGGCCCCTGGTTACCTGCTCTGCTCACAGGTGACCCCCAGAGGAGTGTGGGGTGCATTGACAAGCCCTGTTCCCAGCCCCCCACGGAGACCCTCCCCTGCCTGGAACCCCAGCCCTTACCTGCCACAGAGGAGTTGGAGCCCTGGGTGCTGGCTGTGAGAGGGAGGAAAGAGGGGGGTTAGTGTCTCCTGAATCAGCGAGACAGGCATCTCCCGAGGGATTGGTCCTGCTCTCACCCCCTCCCCAGCTCACCCCTCCTGCCCCACCCAGAGCTGCCTGGGCAGAGCCAGACATTGGGGTGGGGGGGGCGCAGCCCTTACCTGCCACAGAGGAGTTGGAGCCCTGGGTGCTGGCTGTGAGAGGGAGGAAAGAGGGGGGTTAGTGTCTCCTGAATCAGCGAGACAGGCATCTCCCGAGGGATTGGTCCTGCTCTCACCCCCTCCCCAGCTCACCCCTCCTGCCCCACCCAGAGCTGCCTGGGCAGAGCCAGACATTGGGGTGGGGGGGGCGGCCCAGCTCAGAGCAGAGGGGCTGCACCCCCAGAGCTGGCTGGCTG